TTATCAAGAACAATTCCATTAGGTGCAGAAAATGGAACAAATATACTTAGTAGTATTATTGGAGGATTTCTATTACTCTTAGGAGCACGATGTGCAGGTGGATGTACGAGTGGTCAAGGAATTTCAGGTAGAAATGAACATCTGTTTGCATTTGTTATATAATTAGAAATGTCTTTTTTTCTTATGATTAAGGAATGACACATCTTCTAGTTGGTTCATTCATTACTACAGCAAGTATATTTGGTGGTGGTATTATTTTTGCTTTTAGCATTTTATTGAGTAATAATGAATGGCTTTTTCAAAATCTCTGAACTATCAATCAATTGTAACTAAATGTAATGACAAAACTAATCTGAATTTTAACAAATAAAGAAAATTGACTATTAATACAAACGGGTGCGCTATATTGAATGACCGCGTTTTGCATTTCAATTTTCATTCACTTAATATATTGTATTAGAAAAACAAAATATACCACAAGATGCAGCGTGAAAAGCTCTACAATTTTGTTCATTTTGAAAATAAAAAGTACAACTATAAAATAAGTAATCTTGTGTAAATTTTAAAGCTTTTCACGCTGCATCTTGTGATTTATTTTGTTTTTTAATAAAGCGAATTAAATGCTGAAAAAATGAAATACAAAAACGCGACCATTCAATATGGCGCAAGCTTTAATACACTTATAAAAAAGTTTATCTAGTCTTGTTGGCTATACATTTTTTTAACAGCGAAGTTCTTGACGTAGGCTTGATCAGTTCGTCATTTGATAGTGATTGTAGAACTCGTACAAAGTTCAAAGTCACTATGAATTTCAAAGAATTTCAATGGAAAAAGCAATTATGATGTCAGCAAAATGTGACAAAATACATTTATATATTTGAAGATAAGATAGAATCGAGAAGTTAAATATGTTCATTCTGATAAATTTCTTGTTATTAAACACGACATGTTGAATCGACTAGCATGATATCCATCTCATAAGGATCTTAATTTATAAATTGTTAATTTGAAATTATCGGCAATGTTTTACTAACTGTTTTTGAAATATCTTCGATATTTTGTTTAACTTCTATCACATAAAGATGAATTTGAGAAAATAAGTGACGACAAATAGTTGATACTTGTTGCATATGGAAATAGTCTTGTTAAACTTAACATTTGTCTTGAATGAATGAGTTCTTGTAATCAATAAGAGTTCTATTAAGTATTGTTGGGAAGTAAGTTTTCAGGGAGCAACATTCGTTTTGCCATATTATTATATGATTGACTCAAGCGACAATGTTTACTTAGGAAGATATTTTTAACGAAGGATCAATGATTATCGGTAAAATTCTAGTGGTTTCGAGTTTTTCTTCGCCTATCGACAAACTGTTTCCATTTTACTAAGATATCTGGCTGTATTTGAATAATCCTCACCGAATATTTTCATATGAATGATCAATACCTTCTCATACGATTTTTATACTACGATCGAATCAGAAGATCAATTGAATCATAAACAATGCTTCTTCTTCACATACGAAAATAACTCAATGAAATGATATTACTGGAAGATTGGGTGGGGTTATGGTCCACCCAAAGCCAGAACTATCAATCCCGTGGATTAACGTTTATTGAATTCTAAAGAAAAAAGACACTAACAAAAAACGGCAATTAAAGTCATCAGTAGCCAACCCGAAACAGTCAGAAAACATGACAAAATTTGAAAAATATAGCCCATAATAAGAATAGCAAATGTAAACAAATACAATGTACGATGACAATACGTATCTAAGGCAAAAGGATCCGTGTATTGAACAATTGATTTGACACGAAACGTCCAAACACTACCAAGAATAATCCAAATTATCATAAACAATTAAATTGGCAACAAGCAACAAAGACATAAACGATCATTTTCTTGATTTTCCGACGGTAGCTTCTTCAAAAGTATGAAAATATTATTAACAATGTCTATGGTACCAGCCACAGTTAAATATATGGGAATTTTAGAATCGATCGGACATTGATTTTTATATTTCGCTCCAATAGATATCATCGTAATAGGAATTGCTAGGAGAATGACTAATATTACAATTACAGCACAAACCGTAGCCGTTATTAAATGATATTTTCTAGGTCTCTTGGGTAAGTCAATATTGGACGGTTTATTTATCGTCGATCGATCTGTTGGCTTTGATTTGGTGGTTGAAAGTCCTACAGGAAATGATCCTAACTGTAGGGTAACTGATGACGTATCAATAGCACCCCTAGTTGTGTACGTAGCTCTAGTAGATGGCCGCTTATTATCTAATTCTCCAACAGTCGGCAATATTGCCATACAAACGAAGCGATTATTACTCAGTTATATTCAAAATAAAACTTGTTTTTTTTAAAGAGTGCCCGTTATTATACTCGGATTTGATCTTCTTATTGTATTTTTATCAGCAACAGTAAAAAAAAACGAAGAAGAGAAAAAAGAAACATGATCATAAAAATCTAAAAGATTGAATCTCGATGATGAGTGCTTTAGACCAAACACTGAAGAATAGAGAGATAAATTAAGTAATAACAAGAGAAAAAAAATTTGAAGAAAAAATAGACGAAATGATGATCGTTCTTCCTTCCATTCAGTAACATAATGTATAGAATAGCGAAAAAAAGTTGAGAATTTATACTAATCTTGTTGATATCCAAGCAGTCAGAAATGACAAAATAACACGTTTTAACGGACAGGATGTGGATGAACAAAAGAAAAATAATGACCCACCTCCATACCCTCTTTGACAAATTTCCGCAATCACAAGTGCATGACACATACGAGCTATTTGAATATTATAGGAATATGAAATTAACAAATATTGACTAAGACTGTCATTTCTCACTTCGGTATCAACATTCTTAAGAAAAGCAATTTTTCTTTAACTAGCGCTGTTGTTCCGATAATTGTGGACTAAAATCATTATTATTTTTCACTATTGTTTTGTGAAAAATAGAGTGTATATCCTCATAGGAAAACGAAACGATGTGAAGTTCAATGGCTGTGACGGCTAAACAATCGATTACTATTTTCATTTTATTACTCATTGATGCTTTTATGTAGTACAGACAAAATATCTGAAGAAATATACAACAAACTCTATCTGTTTACGAATATATTATTGAAGAGTGAAAGATATCGATGGTTTTAACTGTTTATTAAGAAGAGAAATAAAAGCAATTGGTTTTTTAATTCGAAATCGACAATAGTTTATTTTTTGTGTGTAAATCAAAAGTGTGTCTATTGGCGTATTTGTCAATTTCATCTTCATGTATAGCAACTTGAGGTTCATCTCTTATTACACAAAAGCTATCTCATTTCGATAAGGACGAGAACAGAATTTTATTTATTTTTTATTGTCAGTTCTGAAGATGATCTGCAGTAATGAAAAGAAAGATTGTCGCTTACCAATCACAATATATATGAGACAAAGGAACAAATGACAGTTCGTCGAATGATCGGTGTTGACCAATAAGAATACATGTATGATTAAACGGAGTCAATGAGGATTGTTCACATTTCGCTTATAAGCCACCATCCAATGAAAATAAGGAACAATATATCTTTGTAAGTTTTGTGTTTTCTTGAACGTGAGTTCAATTTTATTTCAATGCAGAAAAGAAAAGCACAAAGAAGAAGTGAGTCAAGAAGAGAATGCCAGTACTAACCATTCTGAGTATGAATACAAGAGTTACATGTATATATATATGATGATAATTTGATAATGCTGTCAGGGTGTGGGCGTGGGTATGGGTGTGGGTGCGGGTGGGTGTTGTTGAAGGAATGCCTCGCATCCATACCCACACCCACGCTTGCGTTACTTCTGCAACATAAAAAGGCTTCACTTATTTTTGTTTTTTCTCTCCTTTTTTTCGTTTTTTTTTTAAATTTCTCTCAATCAAGTGCCTTCTTGAGAAGTGCTCTTCATGACAAAGGTGAAATACACAATGTGCAGAGCAGACAAACAAAGACGGCAAACAAAGAAAAAAAATTTCAGTAAAACGAAATGCAGTTCAAATGAACCACACACATCGGTACTCACTTCTGTATGATGTGGAACTGTTGGCATCGTTGAACAACAGATAATGATAGACTTTCTTCAGCATCAGGCGAAGAGATGAAACTTACATTGATATGAAGCTCCAACAAGTTTTCAGTAAGATACAATAAAAATTAATAATTTTCAACATAGGGTATGGGTGTGGGTGGGTGTAGGTGTTTCCATCATCCACACTCACATCCATACCCACACCAACACCCACACCTCACACCCACATCCACACTCACATCCATACCCACACCCACACTCACACCCACACCCTCCTTCACAGGAGGATCAGGATAACGAATGATGTGGTTTTTAATAAAACATTTATCATGAATTTCTTAGTATATCTTCTAGACTTCTGCTTACGAAGATAGAAATGAATGTTTGATTTAGTCTTCGGACAATTTGACGAATCGGTTTGAAAAAATTTCCAATCAGTCGTCAACTTCCCTTATATCAACCAATTCCATCTATACCGAAAATTCAATTATTATTGTTTTATGTTCTTTGTCTGAAATTCAGTGACATCTCACAACAACAGTCGCTTACTGGTTTATATAATTATTTCACAACTTTGTTGTGACTGGGTTTTTTCTCAGTTAAAGTTCTTTTATCAGTGTTGATAAAGGTATGAAACCACATTACATCTAATAAATTTTATAAACGACTGGTACGTAACACGAATACTTTATTAGTGAGAAAGTGAGTTTTTTACTCAGTATCCGAGTAGCTGTCCCTTTTGAATTCAAAAATAAATCAACTTTCAAAGTTTCTTCCTAATCAAAGGAAAAGATAAATATCTAAAACAAGTATCTTTTCCTTTTTCTGTGTAATTAAGTAGATAGTTAAGTATGATTTGTCATTTATTTTCGAATTGATGCTATGCAATAAACATTAATTTATAGTCGAAGTCGAAAGACGCAGCTCATGTCGATGTCTACACATGATTTGAATGAATCGATTTCAAATCATTTATTTCTTCCTTATGATCTACCAACATCAGCAGATGCTGATTACTTACTTCAAAATACACATCGAAATGAACATAAACTTCTAGAAAGTTTCAATGAATTTTTGGGATCATTAACTCCAGAAAAAACTCTACCGATCTTTTCAATTCTTAAGAACTGTATTCAAAATTGGTCAATAATACAGAATATACAAAATTGCACCATATCAAATTTACAATCGACTATAGGAAAGTTGACATCTGGTGATTTTCTACCATTATATTTTTATGCTCAAAATGCTGCCATTTTGATTGAAATAGATGAAAATCCTCTTAACCAACCATTAATATCATCTTGGCAAGTATTATTACCAACAGAAACAGTGACATCATCTTTGCAACCATATATATCCTATTATCCAACACCAACGTTTCGCTTATCGGATTCTTCTCAATTGACTTCTTCGGTCCAGTGTGAGTTGTTAGTCGAATTTATGACTAATACCATTGAATATCCTAAATCTACGAAATCATCTTATTCGTTCGATGAAACCCGTGACGTACCAATCGCTCATTATGTTTGTCAATGGTGGATAACACAATTTCCAGGGATCAAAAATGAAAATCTTGCAAATACATCAATTCAATTTAAGAAAAAATATCGTGATCAAATCCGCTGTAGATACTCATATTCAACATCAGCTTTTCGACGTTCAGGTTTATGGATGACGATGAAAGTCGTTCTTCAAACTATTCTTACAAAACGTTTGGGAACGATTAGTAGTGTCGTTTATAAGTTACTAATTACGGATTTTCTCATTTATTTCATTCATATGAGACAAGCTTCGAAAGATAAACAAATATCGATTGATTTGCTCGTTCATTGTCTTCGAAAAATTGTTCGAAGATTGAATAAAATTGAACATATGTCATTAACTACCGATTTAAATGATGTGAAACAATGGATGAAAACTGTCACAGAAAAAATTAAAGAGAAAATCGAACATATTTTCCCACAATTAGATTGGCAAAATCATATTTATATAAATGAAAAGCAAATCCATCAATTGAATCCAAATCAAACTGAAATTTATCTACATCCTTTCGAGAAATTAAAAGATTATTTAAAAAAACCTCAATCGTTATCATCGTATAGATCAGTTTCTCACAATTATAATTCTGTTCAATTAATCTCCACGAGTATCAAAAACGAAGAGAATGAATTACCGTTCGTCACGGCTTTAAGTAATTCGGAGAATAAAACCATTAGTTTTGCCTTAACACGTGTCGAAATTTGGGTACAAAACTATTTAGAACAATGGATCGATCATGCTTTAGTATCATCTGTAAATCGAGGCAAATGTTTTGAAGATTTACAAAAATTTTTCGAAGATTATCAACAAGTAGCTTTAGAATATTATTATTCAGAAAATAAATCTACAGATCCAATGGGTTATAGTCGATATATTCTCACGTCGTTAAGAATAATTCGTTTTATTCATATGAAATTATGTCAAGAACAACGATACGAACGATTGAAATCTCATGCTATTCAAATTCCGAATCTTTTGATATTATTTGAATATTTAGTTTTACCAAATCGAGACGAGATGAGTCAAGCTCGAATTCTTTACGATTATTTTCAGGAATTTCATGAAAAACAATATCCAGATCTATTAAGTAATATCGATTCGAAGAATGCATTTGGGGTGCATTTTGCCGATCGATCAGAACAAATGACTAAAGTTTTGGCAGAAATTCAAGCGCAAGTTGAACAGGATAAACATGCTAAAAGACAAGAAGTAATCCAACAGAAAGCAAAATATGATGAATTGATGAAACAAACAAATGAAATGATCTGTGAATGTAAAACTGAATTTCCTTATACAAAATGTGATCGATGTAAGATTACTCAACAAGCAAATAGTATCAAAGTAGAAATTTATGAATGCCCAATACCATCAACACGTGACAGTGCATTAGCTGTGATCTTTGAATTACAAATGCCCATGGAAATTCGATGTTATCGAGATATACTCTGGCAATTTATTAATCGTCCGAATCCAGTACCATCGAATAGCATGCATGAATGGTTAAATATTTCTCCTCATAATAGTAAACTACGTCCACACGACATTGGACCATACAATCGTAAAGTAAAATTAGTATCATCGACTAAATCTCTATCACAAACTCATTATTTTGCACCACGATCAGTCTCATGTACACCTTTGGAAGATTTTTTATTCGAGAACAGTTTACACGTACAGATCTCTCCAACAAAACTGGTTGCATTTCAGGATGAATGTCTAACATTAACACCTCCACTTACCGATTCAAATTACAAACTTTTACAGTTTTCTATTGATAATACACAATTCGTACAAAATCGTGTCATTGCTCAATTGTCCAATTGTTCATCCTCAGTTAAATCCTCACAATTCATCGAATTCGGTTCATTCCGTTCTGGTCATCGTTTACAGTGGTGGAATCTTTTGAGTATATTAGAATTAGATTCTCTATCATTGAATGAGACAAGTGTTGCTATTCTTCTTACACATTCACTTTTACAATATGGTCCCGTGACAACTAATCGAGAAGATCTTATTTGTTACTGGTGTCCAGAATCCTATCAACAATTATTAAATGATGATTTTGTCGATGAATTAATCTTACGAATAGATCATCGTTTAAATGAATGTCAATCTAACTGGCAACATGAATTAGTGCTTGTAATTCTTACAATTATTGTTATGAGAATATTGACTATTTGTAATCCAACAAGAAAAACGCTATTGATTAAATTGGCTTTAAAATGTCGTAAGATAGCTGAAAAATGGATCGAATTAATCTCGGAAAATATTCATAATCCATCATCGGTAGAATTTGATAAAGTCGAGACATTACGTGATAAACTTAAAGTTATTGGTCTGGCAGGTTTATTCACATTTTCATTACATATCGATAATACTGATCATATGCTACTATCGAATCAACATGTTATCTGTTTACTTAAACTAGCGACAACTGTTCAAGATAATCTAATATTGAGAAAAAACCAAATGAATAGTAGTGTTTTCATGAGAAATCTAGTGCGATTCAATGAACGTAATCTGATCTTGTTACAACCACGTCTAAATCAATTCCTTCAAGACACTTCCTACGAAAGTTTAAATAAATTTACTGCTGAATATTGGGCAGTGAACAAAGGTAGAAGTACAACAGATGGAATATGGATCAAATGTGATACGGATGCCTATGATGGTCGATACAGTGCTCAATATGGATCGAATAAAATCTCGATTGATTGTATAAGAGGTATATTTTTAGTTGATAAAGTAACGGTTGGTTTTTTACCGGAAAGCATGTCGTCGGATGCATTGTTTATTCGCGTCTTTGGAAAGCAAATTTTCGAAGTACAACCATCAAATAAAAAGGACACTTATATTACTAAATATGGATATCATCGAGATGGAAATGTTCATTATGAATTTAATTACAATGATTATCCTCGTCGTTTAATAATTCAAGAACGACATAATCAAACAAACGAGAGATTTCAATTGATTCCTTCGAATTGTTTCGAAAAAGAATTACCGGATATATTTATCTCGAATTATAGTCATTGGAAGAATGAAAATACTGAAGAAATCGAATTTCGACCAATACGTTTTCAAGATTCGAATTTTCTTACTGATAAAGAGTATACTCTTACAATCAAAACAGGATTCATCACAACCAAAAATATGGAAACAACTCAAGTCCTAACCAATAAATCATCATCTTTCTTTAAAAACTTATTCGAACGTTATTTTATTCGTCTCGATGACGCACCTTATGTCTACATATTACGAGACATTATTCGGCAAAATGGTGTAAGAAAGTTTGGTGCTTTTTTTCATATACATTTGTCTCGATTAGGTATTGCTTTCCGATATGACATCCAACAAAATGTGATCACCTCTCGTGAATATCCCGATATGAAAATCGATGAAAATCAAGGGTTTGAAACATTAACAGGCTTAAAATTTGGTCTTCTCCTCTCACCTCTGACTGTCAATAATCAACAAAATAACTCTCATCTCTGTCGAAAATTGATTATTCCTTACGGACATCTTCAAATCGAAAAAACGTCAGATAAAGGTCATCAAACTGTTACGATAGAACGAAAGGCTTCATCAGGAACATCACTTCGTCAATATTTGGTTTTTATTTTAAATGATCAATTACATATTCTTCAATCAACTGATAGTCCAACTGGATGGCTCTATTTAGCTTTATTACATGCAATGACATCCCATCCTCTACCTGATCGATATACAGGAATGACGGGAATGGAACGTGCTTTTCACTTATTAAATTCAGCGGGATCTTGGTCGGATCAACCATACGATTCAATTTCTCTAGATATTCTTTCTCAAATTGCAAGTTTATCACCAAAAGCAAATTATTATCCTGAACAACAGACATGTATGATCAAAATCGAATGGAATACTGGAAATTTACCTTATTCTATTCAACATTTTGGTTATTATTTATTAGCAAAGAAATTATATGAAACAAGTAAACAATGGGAGTTTATGTATCCAACAAATCCATCTCATGCTATACAGAAATTGTTTGAAAGCAAGGAATACAACGAAAAAGTATTGATTAAACTCTATTGGGATTATCGAGATTCATATAATCCAACAGCACGATTATCTCCTCAGATGGAAGCAGAGATTCGATCGACAAATCTAACAAAATCATACCAACCCGTATGGGCAAGTTCGACATTATCAATCGGTAACAATAATCCTCTTCGATTGATCGATTATTTATATTCCAGTGGAGATGTAAATCTACAAGATAACTCATCATTAAAATGTTTTCCATTATCTCAATGGTTATCAGATCACAATCAACCGAAAAATATCTGGATTGGTTTATTTAAATACATTGAACAATTACAAATCTCACAAACTGCCAATCAACAATCTGAAATCGAACGTTTAGAAATCCTCTTCGATTTTCTTTGTTATATCTCTCGTAAACATGATACTCAACCATTTTATTTTCAACTACTCAAATCAATTCTAAAATCATCTGTAGCATCACTCCGAACTCTTCCATATCCTAAATTGACTTATTATAAAAGTATCAACGAAACATCACCTCAACAGCATCGTATTGACTTTCCACGAAAACTTTATCCACATAATCGAGAAAAAGCTTTCCAAGAAATTCGACGTTGTTTTAACAACAATCAAGAGTATACAAATGATACATTTCCAAAATGGGCCATTAACAGATGGCAAATTAATCATTTATTTGAATCCTGGCGTGCCAATAATGTACTTCATTCATTTCTAAACAATATTCAGTCTCATCTTCATTCTGTTACAATAATTCCATTAAATACTGAAGTGTATATCAATCCTCAAAGTTTTACAATAGAATCATTTGAAAATCATTATCAAATTAAAATAAATTCTCAAAATAATCCTATTCATCAACAATTACTTCAATATGCCAAAGAAAAATTCTTGCATTATCATGATGATTATTTCATTAAACCAATAATATCTACGGAAATCAAAAATGAACAGCAGAAGGCCTTCCCTCAAGAAATAATTCCTTCGACAGATCCTCAACTGAATCCTCTTACTGATATTGCTAAGCATTTTAAAGAATATCTTACAGAAAGTTGGACAAAATTTCAAACGACAAAACAATATCAAAGAAAATATCCCGAATTAAACAAAATTTACAGTGTTCTCCAATCTTGTTGTCAACAATCGGCAGAAATGTTGGGTGAATTAACGAAATCAATTCAATCAAATAATAAATTATTATTTCAAACAGGTTTAATGATAAGAATTTTACCAATAACATTAATATCTATCCTTCAAGAAATCTCTCAAAAAAATACCGAGAATGTACCATCATTATTCTTAACATCTGATCAACATACATTACTCGGTGGTGTGCTTGTTAATTACGTTATTGAACAACAAATTAACCGAGCAATTCATCTCCATAATCAGGGAAAATTGGAAGATTTCGAAAAAGAAATTTCCAATGTTCCTCATACAAATTGGATACCTGCCGAGTATATTCCATGGTTAATTATGGAATTAGAAATGAATATAACCATTCGAGCAATTCAAATTCAAGTTGCACGTCATATGATCAATCCAAATTCTTCAAACAATAACATCGTCATGCAATTGAATATGGGTGAAGGAAAAACTTCAGTTATTCTTCCCATGTTAGCACTTAGTTTAACTTCATCATCATCAAGTTTAGTTCGGATAATTGTATTAAAATCTTTATTTCCAATGAATTATCAATCATTACGATGTAAATTAGGCGGATTATTAAATCGACGTGTTTTACCATTTTCTTGTCGACGTGATATGAATTTTACGAGTGAACAAGTGAATCAAATATTCACTCGTTTACAACACGGATTAAAACATTGTGATGTGATGTTAACTTCACCCGAAGATATTCTCTCATTTGACTTACTGACAATCGATAAATGTCGACGACAGGAATTCAATGTTGGTCAATCGATGTTATCGATTCAACAATGGAGTAAAATATATCTTCGAGATATTTTAGATGAATCAGATGAGATTCTACATGTGAAATATCAATTAGTTTATTCAGTTGGTCGACAAGAACAAGTGGATGGAGGTACAGAACGTTGGAAAACGATTCAAACGGTTTTGACATTCGTTAAAAAACATGCAGCAACTATTGCAAAACAGTATGGAGATGATGTTTTTTATAAACCTTCAACTCATCAAAGTCATTTTCCGGAATTTCGTTTATTATCCCATCAACCTTTTCCAACATTATGTAAACTTATTCTTAACGAATGGCTTAGTCAAAGAAGTTTTCGTCAAAATGATTTGCAAGTGATCGAATCATTTATTTTGAATGCTAATTCACCTCTCGATGAATTGACTGGTCGATTTTCTGATACTATTATTCAATTATTTCTCATTCTACGTGGTTTATTATCATCCGAAGTGTTATGTGTTGCTTTAAAAAGACGTTATCGTGTGAATTTTGGTGTGAATCAAAATTCGAAATTCAATCGTTTAATGGCTGTACCATTTCGTGCGAAAGATGTTGCAGCAGAAAATACCGAATTCGGTCATCCAGATGTGGCGATTATTTTAACTCAGTTGTCGTATTATTATAGTGGTTTAAATGATAAACAAATGATGCAATGTTTGAATCGTATGAATGAGGAAGAAGAAGATCCTGATGTGATTTATGAAGAATGGATTTCTCAAGAAGATAAAACGAATGAGTTTATTTCAAATATTCAACATTGGAAATCAATTAATTTAAAAAATTCTCAACAATTAACTGAATATCTTTTTCCAAGTTTACGTCAGAATATTTTAGTTATTAATTATTTTCTTAATCATTTCGTTTTTCCTCGAGAAGCCAAACAATTTCCGCAGAAATTAATTGCTTCTGCTTGGGATTTATCGTCATCAATTTCACGCAAACAAATCATCACAGGATTTAGTGGAACAAATGATACACAATTATTACTTCCTACTCATATCGAACAACGTGATTTACCGGATTTACGTCAAACTGATGCTCTTGTTCTAAATAATTTACTTCAATCTAAAAATGAAAATTATCAATCTTTACCGATGAGTCCGACTTCCGAAGAGATTTTAAAACAGATTGTCAATTGTCAATTAGATATTCAAGTTATACTTGATGTCGGAGCATTATTTATCGATGGAACAAATCATCAAATAGCAGAGAAATGGTTGAATTTATTAGATAAAAATAAAATTGATTATGCAGTTTATTTCGAATTCGATGAAATTTTTGTTATTGATCGTCTTCATCGATGTCATGCGTTTTCAACATCACCGGCGAGTGAACGTCTTGATCGTTGTGTATTTTATCTCGATGAAATTCATACACGAGGAACAGATTTGAAATTTCCCAATGACTTTCGAGCAGCAGTAACATTAGGAAATGGCTTAACGAAAGATCGTTTAGTACAAGCATGTATGAGAATGAGAAAATTAGGCAAATCTCATTGGCTAAGTTTTTGGAGTTCAAATGAAGTTCATCATCAAATTGAATTATTAAAAAGAAATTCATTATCAATGAATGAAAAAATTACTCTTGTTGATATTCTCCGATGGGTATATGAAAATACTCAACAAGCAACTTGGGATGGTTTACATCATTGGGCAACACAAAGTTTAAGTTTTCAACGAAAAGTAAATGCTTTTCAAAATATCTATCAGAATACTAATCATACAAATACAATGATGGAACAGTTAGCGAACGATTGTTTAGAAGATGAAATATTAGATTTAAAATCAATGTATGGTCCAGCAAAAATTTGGCAAACTATTTTACAAATTTATTCTGCTCGATATAAATATTTTCAGATTCACTCATCGACTGAAATTCATCAAGCTGTTCTTAAACGTTTACAAGATTATGGTGGATCGAAAAAATTACTATCACAATTATTAGATGAAGAACAACAGAGAGAATTAGAACAAGAACAAGAAATGGAAGAAGAACGACAACAAAAACGTCCACCAATTGTTCAACCTTATGAACCTTTTTGGCACAAGGAATTTGAAAGTTTATGTGATATGCAAAGTTCTACAATGGATTTATTGAACTTACCTTCAGTATTCCGTCCTTTAAAAGATGCTTTTCTTGATACTATATTCCATCAACACAGTCAATCTCATTATTGGCAAGCAAATCTTTGGATTTCGACTGAATTTCAACAAGTTATTCAAACACGTGGAGAATCATTAGATCCATTTCTACGCCCACCAAGATGGGTGTTCATCTATCGAAATCGAGATATGATTTTTGTTAGTGCTTTCGAAGCTAATCGGTTGCTAGGTCAATTGCAGAAGCAGAAACTTGTTCAACCACCAACGACCACATTACGGCTTCTTCTGCCACGTCTTCAACGTAATCAATCGATTTTCATTGATATTCCACGTCTGACTATTCCTTCTAATGCTTTCTCTTCTATTCCAGTTGAAGTATTGGCTCAATTGTTCGTTTTTAATGGCACTCTCTATTTCAATACTGATGAAGAACAAACCGCTTATTGTCAATGTTTAGGTTTGTGTCCAAAACCACGAACAAAACTTGAAGATGATGCTTTCGATAATGGCTGGATCGCTCTTGATGGTTATGTTGAAATACCAGGACATCGTCAACAACTACAACTTCATCATTGTCGTTTTCCTTCGAATCCATTGGTATTTGTGAAAAAACTGCTTGAAAATCGAAATAGTTCACACGCACCACTGACCTCACATGTGGGTAGTATTATTTTCAATGCAGTTAAACTCCCAATATCATAAACTTGATAGTGCCTGATGAGGATGAGGGTTTTTATTTTCTATTAAATAAAAAACGACTATTAATTACGTAAAATTTCGAAGGACATTGGTAAAAAGGAAATAAATCATTTTCAATCTGTTTTTTTCCATTCAATTGTTTGACTTGTTGCACCTAACATATTCAAATCAAGTCCGTAGATAAGTAAAATCTAAAATATCGATAATAATCATAGAAATCAATGATATTAAATACATACATCATCAGGAATATTGTAAATAAAATTAGAATAAGCTTTTCCGTTCACATTCACATTAGTCACACTTTTATGTAAACCAAGAACTTTTACCATACCTAATACCATGAAGGAATCTTTGTCATTTGTTAGCAAAGCATTGATTGTCAAGACATTCTATGCATACATTAAAGACAATATCGAACTCGTCAACAATTCCACTTACGGATGCCATGACATTGGATTCAAAGTAATTGTATGTTTTATTTTCAATCGTATCTAAATTATTCGAACATACTATTTCCAAGCCGGAGAGATATGTAACATACGCATAGAATCACCATCATCTCAAAAAAGACTTCCACTCGCATTTCCTAATTGCGACAATGTCACTAGTAGTTCAAATGAATTTAAACGGCCGAGAACAAGATTCGGTCCAGGTATTTGCATTGGAATAATAAATCCACCACGAACATGAACATTAATCTTATGAATTGGTGTATCAAAATCCACATATTATCCAACAGTTGTTAGTTGTATACCTGATGGAAAATCATAGCAAACATCTTGTGGAATATAAGCATGAACCGTAGACGAATTTGGAAGTAAATTGGGAGAAACAAGAATAGCAGGACCAACTAAAAATTGCCGATCAATACTATAAGTATTCTCATCATTAGGATATCTAAAATCAAAGAGAGAACTTATCGAATTTGTTCGTGAAAAATAGTTTATACTCGAAGAAGAGCGGTTCGATCACTGTGGTAGAAATTGTACTTGCTTTAAAGAAGAGTGTATACCAATATGGAAGCAGTGAATAGCACATAAATAAGGCTTGTTTCATGATCTGTTGTGATTCTCAAGAGAAAATGGCAGGATTTTGAGCCTAAGAAAATATGTGGAACGTAAATAATAATTTTCAAGCAATGATGTTTACTTTAGCACCGACTGCATTATGATTTCTCATAAACGGATAGAAGGCACCTAGTTGCACCCATTTGGTGCATAATTCTTCCGTAGTATCATCATTAAAACCACAAATTTCTGCACCTGCAAATGTCATGCCAAAGATATTATAATTGAGAATCGCTAATCAAATGAAAAGAAGTATGAATTTGATGTACTAGAAGTTTAAAACATACTTGGAATTGACTGATAAAGGTCGATAAATGAAGCAGCATTGTCACCAGACCAATGTGTAGTATAATGACCTGAACCAGCAAATGTTGAATGTGACAAAACAAATGGTCGTTTTTTAAGAATCATTCTGAGAGCACTAGAGCATTATCATCATATATATGTACAGAGTCAACTTAGTTAGAAAAAAAAAACTTACGCGTTCGTTGCTTTAGCTTCAAAAAAACCATACATACTATGTAAATTATAAGGGTACGGGTGTTGGTGTGCGTGTGGGTGTGGGTGCGGGTGTTGGTTTATCTCTGCCCTCTACCCACACGCACATCCACTCACACCCACACCCACACCCACCCACACCCACACCCACACCCACATACACCCACACACACGCACACACACACACCCACACCCACACCCACACACCCACACACACACCCACACACCCACACCACACCCACACCCACACACGCTCACACCCACACCCGCACACCCACACATCCACATTCACGCCCACACCCACACCCACACCCACACACCCACACACCCACACACCCACACACACCCACACCCACACATCACACCCACACACACCCACACACACCCACACCCACACCCACGCCCAACATGAAACATTTTTATTGTAATGATTTAATGGATTATTTGCTTATATAAAGAAAGAATTTATGAAACGAACTGTATTGTAATATCTATCATTTCATATCATCAGTAACATAAGTCTATTACTAAGCATATACTTTGAGAAAATGACACTACGTGACAGCTATGGTTCATACTTTTGCCTTAGAATCTTTGGTGTGATTCTCGATGTCGATATTCATCTAACCGAAAACGTTTTCTACGAAAAGCAAGTGCATACTATGGATTGGAAGCAGTATCCTCGATATTTCATGGACAAAGTTAAACCTAATCCTAACATTGGTCTGCACTTTGCTTGGCCAGCAGTAGATCACAAGAATCTCTTCAATGAAATATTTATCGCCAATTTCTGCACTGTGTCAGCGACGGACAAGAAGAGATCAAAAGTGAAGAAGGAGCTTTATAAAGAAAAATATATAGAAATGAATCGTTTTTTATTCGGATTATCCCGTCGTTCGAAAATGGGGAAACAATTACGATGGAAATTGCAAAAAGCAGCATCTGGATACCGAGGAACTCGATATATATCGAGAAATAACGCAATGCGACCTGAAGTGCTCTTTCTCGAACATCATTCACATACGAATACTGATCTACTACAAGAATACTTCTTTCCTGTCGATCAATGTGAGTATGACATTGATTTCGGGATATTTCAAAGACCAGAGAGAGTATTTTAGATCAAGAATTTTTCAGTGAACTTCGCAAGAGTATTCAACGCGATGGCATTAATCTTCTATCGAGCACTATTCGCTTTGTTCCACCTACTAAAGAGCCTTTTCTCCGTTATGCACACGATCATAAAGATTTTTTCGTCGTTGTTCTTTATTTTAATCAAAAACTGACCGATATGGGGCGAAAACAAATCAAACTGTGGACACGTCACATGATCGATGTAGTGCTCCGTCTGGGTGGTACGTATTATCTACCCTATCAACGATACTCTACTCGGCAACAGCTTATTCGAGCCTGTCCTCGAATAGACGAGTTTTTCCAGCACAAGCAACGTTATGATCCTGATTCATTGTTCGAAAATGATTGGTACAATGCTTATCGAAATATTACCGCATCGCGAGTGTACTGAATACTTTATTGATTGCTTCAATTGTCGCACAATGGTCGTAGAAAGAGAAAAATTAAAGAGTTTCTATTCTATTGTCGAATGATTTCATGTTAAGATAAATATAAATAATTATCTGTCATGCTCAAGAATCTTCGAGCAAAATCTTTGATATTTGAGCGCCAGATCCTTGACAAATATGTTAAGGATCCTGAAATGATTCGTTCTTTTTCCTTGAGCAAATGGCTAAATCGTGAAAGAAGCGTGTAGCCATCATAGGCGGCGGAACGTGTAGGCGGTGTGAGGCTTGAGCCTTACCCGTCTTTGGCATCTGTAGACTCAGCCTCATCCAAATTATGAATTCGATATTTATTCTCACGAAGGCTTAGACTTGTTCTATCAGATAAATATTATTTTAGTGCAAAAATGCAAACTCCTAATTTGTTTATTTATATGTTATGATAAAGAAAACTAAATAATTCAGACAATAGTAAACCCACTAGCTATGTCCTTATGGTTCATAGCAACGTCTTTTATCTTATTTACATAAAGTGGCATATGTACTAGACCAATTGTAGAATTATGCGATCAAAAGATATCAAAACTAGTCATTGTGTATTCAAGCATCC